TATGGCAGCTGTTTTGAATTCTTCATCAGTTAGATCTTCCAAGACTTTATGTTTAGTTTCTGGAGAACTATTTTCTTTTTGTGATGCTGTGTTATTGTGGCTTTTTGTGATACTTGCTGAGTTATTCCTCTACTGGTGCATTTGTCATAGCAATTCCTATTTAGGTATAGCTTTGTTTGTTTTGATTTAAACTTTTCAGCCAGTTGGAGATTAGAGGCCTTTCTTTGTTTTTCAGTAGGTGGCACTATAGCGCTAGTTTTTGGTTTCTCTTACCCAACCTGCTTCTGGTTATATTTGAGGATTGAGAAGTTCCACCCTCCACCCCCTCTACTCGGAGTGTCACTGGTACTCATTGCTGCCTGCACCTCTGGGGGTCACTGATGCCTTGCTGTTGCTGCTGCAGTCGCCGGCTTCACCACCAGGGCTTCAGGGACGGCTGATGGTTCTGCTGCTTCTGGAATCACCTGGGTCAGAAGCTCTGCCACCCTGGCAGGGGGAGGGAGCCAGGTTCGTGGGGCACCGCCTCTGCTGTTATCCATTACCTTGTGGCCACAGACGCCGCTATAGTTGGGATGTCAGAGCCATGTGTGCAGCTCCAGGCTCTGAGTCGTGGCCAGGGGCCTAGAATCATGGGGCTCTGCCTCTGCTGCTGCTTTGCTCCCCGTGGCCACAGGTGCCACCACAGCTGGCTGGCCAGAGTCGTATGTGCACCTCTGCTGCTTCCCACCGGGTTCTCTGGAGCTGGGGGAGACTGGCTCAGGGTCCTGGGCACTGCCTCTGCCATTCCCCCGTTTTGCCTCCTCTGTGTGCTCCAATCCACCCACTTTCATATGTACCAATGTGTGGATCTCTCTGGCGTCCTGGTGTGTTGGGCAATGTAGCCTTCGTTGGGTTATGGATGTTTTACTTGCTATAGGTTGAAGGAAAGAGACAAAGGGAACCTCTCACACTGCCATGATGATGTCTCTCACTGTTTTTATTTAAAAAGAAAATGGATAACATTGATGCAGACCTCAAATTTAAAAATGTACAAAATTTGTTATCAATGGAAAATATAAGGTCTCCCAATGAATACATGAACTAATTGTGGGGGGAAAGCTCCAACCAACTCATTAAGAGATATATTTCCATGTTTTTATGAAAAAATATTTTACTTTTTATGTTTAATAATTATTGATCAAAATTGGTAACATTTATCTTCTTTTGCTGAATTATTTATAGTTATGATAAATACAAATTAAGATAAATTTATATACATGTATTTGTTGAGAAGTATGATAGGGTAATGAACTGTAATCTGGGATAAAAATTTTGTGGTAAACTGGAACAAAAGTAGACCAAGGAGAAAAGGGTAAGGTTATATTTTCAATTGTTAAAGGAGAGTATGTTTATATAGTTTTTTAAGTGGATTATAGTGGATATGAAATTTCATTTTATCTTAAAATGTCAATATTGACAGTGTGCCTGAAATTACATCTTTTGCAACTATTTAAACTAACAATGAAAAATGTTAGATGTTAACTTTAAAAAGTACTTTGGGAGTATATGAACAAAAACACTTGAAAACCACTGATAAGATGAGCTCTGCAATCCCTCCCAGCTCTATTATAGCCCCTATTTCATCATATCATGATTTTTTTGAGTCTGTGTCTTTTCTATTAGGGCTCCTCGGGGGCAGATGTCATCTCCTCTCATCTTTAGATACCCTTTATATCCCCTTAGAGTCAGCACAGTACCTAGTATACATTCAGTGAATCTCTCTCGATTTAAACCCAGTTATTTCCTTTGTGAATTTTCTCCCTTCTCTGGCTTCATATGTCCAGAATGAAGTGACCAAATTCAGTTTGAATCAATTGTTCCTCCTTGTACATTCTTTTTTTCTTTTTTAGTTAAATTGATCCATCAATTCTGGGGTGAGTTGTCAGAGATCAACAGTGAGACTGAAGTTCTAGCTCCAACCCTGCCTCTAATGCCCTACCTAACCTTGGGCCGCCCTCTTTCCTTCTCAAATGGAAGGGTCAACTTAATGATCTCTAAAATCCCTTCCAGCTCCACTGGTCTGATTTTCATATTGATTGCAGGCTTTTCCACTGGCTTGATGACTCTTCTCAGCCCAGTTTTTCTCTCTCAATGAAATGCTTGAAACTGCATGACCAGTCCTACCACCTACAATGAGTTAGTACGGTCAGGCTGATCTAAAATAAAGACATAAAAACAGTACAAGAGAGAAAATGTTTACAAATCATATATGTGATAAGGGTCTACTATCCAGGATATATAAAGAACTCTCAGAATTCGAGAATTAAAAGACAGCTAATTTTAAGAGAATTAAAAGACAGTCCAATTTTAAAATGGACAAAGGATCTAAATAGACATTTCTTCAAAGAAGATCTACAGAGGGCCAATGGGGACATGAAAACATCATTAGCCATCAGGAAAATGCAAATAAAACCACAATGAGATACTGCTGCACACCCCTTAGGATGGTGATAATCAAAAAGACAGATAATAAGTGTCGGGAAGGATGTGTAGAATTTAGAACCCTTGTACATTGCTGGTGGGAATGTAAAATGGTGCAGCCACTTTGGAAAACAGCAATTCCTCAAAAGTTAAACATAGATTTACCATATGACCCAGCAATTCCACTCCTAGGTATATACCCAACAGAACTGAAAATATATGCTCACACAAAAACTTATAACAAACGTTCATAGCAACATCATTCATAATAGCCAAAAAGTGGAATCACCTGAAGTGTCCTTCAATTGATAAATGGATAACTAAAATGTGGTGTATCCGACAATGGAATATTTATTCAGCCATAAAAAGTAACAAAGTACATGTGTGGGGACAAGGAGTATATGGGAACTGTCTGTACTTTTCTCTCAGTTTTGCTTTGAACCTAAAACTGCTCTAAAAAATAAAGTTTATTAATTAAAAAATAATGATATACTGATACACGCTACAACATGAGTGAATCTTGAAAACATTATGCTGAGTGAAAGACGCCAGATACAAAAGGCCACATATTGTATGATTCCATTTATATGAAATGTCCAGAATAGGCAAATCTATAGAAAGTAGATTAATGGTTGCCAGGGTCTGCAGGGAGAGAGATATGGGGAGTGACTTCTAACAAGTATGAGATTTCTTTCTGGGGTGATGAAAATATGGAATTAGATAGTGGCAATGGTTGTCAACCTTGTGAATATACTAAAACCCACTTGTGTTAAAATGGTGAATTTTATGGGGTGCAAATTATATCTCAATTTTTTTAAATGTACAGAAAAGAACAACTAAGGAATAGCACATGTTTGGAAATTTTCCCACCAACACCACTCCCTCTTCAGTAAGCAGTGATGGAGACATCAGAGGTTGATGTAAATGTTGGGGCTCTAGGGGTAACCCAGCTATAGCCATATGGGTATACCATCCATCTCTCTGCCTCCCACTCCCAACCCTCCCTTATCCCACCCCTAGCAACACCACACACCATCATACTATTCTAGGATGGACATCTCTTTGCCCTTAATGCCAAGTGGTTCTGGTCACTGACTTCCTTTACACACTTACAAAGTTTACATAGTAATTCTTAGCAATATTATCAAATCAAAAGTAGAGTAGTAACTGGAGCACTCCCATATCTTCTCCTGGAGACATATATTCTACAGATCACTGCCCAATTCTCCCCTCTGAGAAACTGCTTTCAGTGCAGATGCTCTGGAATCCACAGTGACTTGCTCTTATTATTTACCATATCAATTCTAAACTCCCTTCCCTAGTTTTTAAAATTCTCTGTAGCCTAGTCCTACCTTTCTTACCCAAAATTAAATCACATCACTGAAACATTTAGTTATTAGTAACAGAATCTAACCTTAAAATCCTGTCCTGACTTCACAAATATGACTTTCTCCTGAGATGTTAGAAGCTTATTGAGAGCTGTTCCAAAGTACCTCAGGCTTCCCAGCATCTACCCTTGCCACTGATGTCCAAGGATGAGACAAAGGTTCTTCATTGAAACTGTGACCCTTACAAAGGCAATGTTGTTTTAAAAAAATTAGTGTATCAATGCAAAGCACTAGCAAGAACTTGGGAGGTCACCTAACATAACACATTTATTATGTGTGTATCTTTCCAGAGTCCCTAGAAGGACACTTCATTGGGACATAATGCGCATTCAGCAAATACTTATTCAATTGAGAAAAATTTTTTATAATTTTTGTATCTTCATTGCATCTCTCCTTAATTCTATCAAGCTAAAAGATTCTGATATATTTCTGATAGAAACTCGTTATGGGGTTGGCCCAGTGGTGTAGAGGTTAAGTTTGCATGCTCCGCTTCTGGCTGCTGGGGTTCTCAGGTTCAGATCCTGGGCGTGGACCTATGCACCACTCATCAAGCCACACCTGTGGCAGGCATCCCACATAAAGTGGAGGAAGATGGGCACAGATGTTAGCCCAGAGCCAATTTTCCTCAGCAAAAAAGAGGAGGATTGGCAACAGGTGTTAGCTCAGGGCTAATCTTCCTCACAAAAAAAGAAAAAAAAATTCAAGTTATATAAATTATCTATTTGTGGGGCAGGCCTGGTGGTATAGTGGTCAAGTTCACACCCTCTGCTTCAGCAGCCCCAAGTTCGTGGATTCAGATCTTGGGCATGGACCTAGACACTGCTCATCAAACCATGCTGTGGCAGCGTCTACAAAATAGAGGAGGATTGGTATAGATGTTAGTTCAGGGACAATCTTCCTCACCAAAAAAATCTATTAACCAGCCTTTCTTTATTTTTTCAGGATTCAACTTTCTTAAATGAAATTCCAAATAACTAATTTTTTTATTTTAAATTCATAAGAATAGTAAGCTATTCTTATGAATTTACTTTTTTGATATTTTTCTTTCTCTTTTTAGACTATTAGACCCAAAAAGGATGTTACCAACCATGTTGCTTTGCCTGTCAAAGCTACAAGACCCATCAGCAGTAAACTTCAGCCCAGACCTACCAGTATCACAGGGTCCCAGAAGTCAAAGGTGGAGCCACCAAAACTTCTAGGCAAAAGGCTGACTTCAGGATGTGTTTCATCTAACCCAAACTCTCGGCCTTCTAGCAGTAGTCAACAACAGCGTGAAGCTGGATCCTCCTCTGCTGGAGAGCTGTCAAGAGGAACCGTGGGGTCACTTAATACACAGGAATTGAAAACTGCAAAGCAGCAGGTGACAGGTCAAGGAAATGCTAAATGTGCAGACTCTGTGGACAATGCCCATGTTGAAAAGGAATCCTTGGATAGCTTTCTAAAAGAAGAGAACAAAGAGAACTTGCCCCAAACCCTGCCACACTCTGAGAGGAAGCCAAATCCTGAATTACAGACCAAAAGTAAGCCAAAGACTAACTCTTATAATCAAACCAAGAGCTGTTTGGCTCCTAAACAAGCCGTGGGCAAAAGCTCAGTAAATAGTATTGTTCTGAAAGACAGAGTTAATAAGCAGGGTGTTGGAGAAACACAAATCAAGATTCCACCAATAAAGTCAAAGCAACTCTCTAGAGGAGCAGATCTTGCAAGACCAAGAGAAAGACCTCCAAAGACGGTTTCCTCTCACTTTGTTCAGACCCTTAGTAGGATTCAAGCATCAAAGAAACCAGTGGTCAGGGATGTAAAGGTTAATAGGAGTAAATACAAAAGACCAAATGAAACTAAGTTACAGTCATACGCTGTTACTGAACAGAAAGTAAAACATGCTAAACCCAGGACATACCCCAGTGTGCTTCAGGGAGGAAATAACAACAGACATCCAAACACTAAGCAAGATCCGAAATCCACTCAGCCTTGTTTTAGACCTCGGACATCATGTGTACTGCAAAAATCGAAAGCCACAAGCCAAAGGCCTGATTTGACAGTTGGCAGCTTTAATGCAGTGCTTCCAAGTACCCCTAGCCTAAGAGCAAATGGAACCAATGGGAATAAACGCAACAACAGCTGTCAACAAAAAGCATGGACTTTGGACTCCAAGTTGAAAAAGGCTCTTCCCCAGAGCCATTTTCTAACCAAGACAGCTCCCAAAACTCAAGCTGGCGACACAACCACACATGGAAAAGGAGTCCCAAATGGGACCCAAACGAATCCACATATTAAGAAGAAGACCACAGCAGAGGATCGAAGGTACTTTGCTTTAATTCCAAAATTTTGTAATTTAAGAGGATCAGGCAAATTGTCCATCAGGAATACTCGGTCAGGAAATAGGCTATAGATAATGGCTCCTGGTAATTTTTAGCCACAATCCTGAAAAAAAGATTCGAAGCAAATATAACAAATATTAAGACTCGATAGGGCCGGTGCCATGGCTTAGCAGTTAAGTGCGTGCGCTCCGATGCTGGCGGCCCGGGTTCAATCCCGGGCGTGCACCAACGCACCGCTTCTCCGGCCACGCTGAGGCCGCGTCCCACATACAGCAACTATAAAGATGTGCAGCTATGACATACAACTATCTACTGGGGCTTTGGGGGAAAAAATAAATAAATAAAATTTAAAAAGAAAGATTTAAAAAAAAAAAAGACTCGATAGAGCTGGGTGGTATATACGTTTGTTATAAATTATTCTCTGTAATTTTCTGTATGTTTGAAATGATTTATTTTTTAAGAAGAAACTGAAACAAAATGGTTGAGTGAGAAATAGGGGTTGCAGATGTAGAGTATTCATTCAAGAAGTACCCTCAGGAAACTGAACATCCATAGAAGAGGACAGGGCAGGAGGAGCCCGAGTAGTGAGTTTACATAGTTAGGAAGCAGGGAGATGGTAGTCCCCTGTCAAGCAGACCAGTGGTTAAATCCAGAAAAGTTATCAGCGAAGAAGAAACAGGAATCTTCCATGAGTCTGAGCAGGCCAAGTTTTGGAAAGTAAGCTGAGGCAGAAAGGAGCAATCAGTCCATATACAGAGTTCAAATGGTAGAAATCAGGACCTCAGGTTGCTGGGGATTAACATTAACAAACATAATGCTTGAAACTGAGCCAAAGGATTTCGTACACTTTCTGCACAGGATCAAACATAGTCTCATACTGTGGTGAACCTCCCAGGAGAAACACCTATGTACACTTGGTTGGAGTAGAAAATGAGACTCCTGACAAGGGTGAATGAAATTTAAAATTAGATAGTAGCTAAAAGGTGTAGCAGGGTGAGGTGAGGGCAGGATTTATTCTCTGAATACAGCCCTGAGCACCACCAACAAGCTCTGCCCTCCCGAAGAGACAAAAAAATTAACAACTTAATTCAGGGTGATGTGACTAAGAGAGTGAGGCTGGGATGACTTCTTCAGATAGAAAGGTCAGGGGAAGTACTTTCAACAATGACGTCTGGGCTGAGAAAAGGACAGTGTCAAGAAGAAGGATGAAGCTTCTGAGCAAAAGAAACTGAGTGCAAAGACCATGAGCTGGTGAATGAGGAAGTCAGGGTCTCTACCCTGGAGCTCATAGTCTAGACCAGATAACAGATGATGGATCTTAAGATAGTGTGTGGAGTGTTGGCCATGTTTGATTACAAAAGAGAAGGAGTCTGTGGAGAGGGATAGAGTGATCTATCCCTCACTCATCCTCGAGTGTTCCTGCAGCACCTACAGTGTGCCAGGTGCTGGGAGATAGAGTGGTGAGCACACCGACACAGTGTCTAACCTTATGGAACTTTTTCTCTGGTGTATCTATGGAAAGTGTTAGAATAGTAAAATCATGGCCTTGAAGTCCTAGGAATAAGTTGACTTTAGAAAAGGCAAGTTCCCTCTTCATTTATGATTAGGAGGAAGGCTGAGGAGATAGGAAGAATGCCAGGAACATAGAAGAAACACATGCCAGACGTCTCCACTTCTATCATTAAACAGGTGGTTAGAGTGAAGGTGAAGGGGAGCAGTTGGAGCTGAAATAAGCACTGTATGGATTGTGCTCTGGAGTCAAGGAGAGAAACAATAGAGTTAATCAGTTGTTAACATTCTGGAAAAAGCAAAACTATAAGGACAGAAAACAGATCGGTGGTGATTGCCAGGAGCTAGGGATGGGGGCGGGGTTGACTACCAAGGAGCGTGAGGGAATTTTTGAGGATGTTATATCTTGATTATAGTTATGGTTACATGACTTCATGCTTTTGTCAAAACTCACAGAACTGTATACTGAAAAAGTGAATTTTACTCTGTTATTGAACACTTCTGTGTTCCAGACACTGTGCTAGGCACTGGGACTTCTAGGGTTTCTGCCTTCATAGAGCTTGCCTTCTAGTGGAGAAGACAGAAAATTAACACATTGATTAAATAGGAAAGAATAATTATGGATAATTACCTCTTCAAGGAGGTGTCATTTGAGCAGAGGACTGAAGACTGATAATGCAAGACCCTGAGGCAGGAATGAGCTTGGGTCAAGTAACTGAACGAATGTTAGAGCTCCTGGAGGGTAGCGAGTGAGGGGGAGAGCGTATGACATAAGGTTGGAGAGGTAGGCAGGAGCCAAATTACACTGCACTTTTTGGCCATAGAAAACATTTTGAATTTTATTCCAAGAGCCATGGGAAATTCCTGGCAGTGACTCAGTCTGGCTTACATTTTAAAGATCGCTCTAGCTACTGTGCACAGGTTGAATTTGATAAGGGTTTGAGTGGAAGCAAGGAGATGAGTTAGGAGACTGCTGTGGCATTTCAGGCAGAAGGTGAAATGATATGGACTAGGATGGTCGTAGTGGAGATAGAAGTAATACTGACTATACAGTGATGTGTCAGATGTAGGGGAAAGAAAGGACTACTCAAAGACAACTCCTAGTTTTAGGTCCTAGCAACTGGGTAGATTAGGGTACTATTTACCAATGTAGGGAAGGCTGTTTGGGAAGAGATATGAAGGTGAGAATCAAGAGCTTTGTTTTGGACAATATTAAATTTGAAATGTCTGCCAGACCTCAAATAAGAGATATCAGGTAGGCAGTGGATTTTACAAAGTTTGGGACTCTAGGGAGAGATCTGGGCTGAAATCTACATTTGTGAGTCACAAATGTGTAGTTGTAATTTAAAGAAGCTAAAGATCCTACGTCCAAACGCTTGGGTCTACATGTCTTGGTGTCTTCTCCAACAGTAGTCTGTTGACTACGTAGAAGCAGGAGTGAAGAATGTGAATAGTGTGGAGAGCGAGGATTAGGACTTGACACCGTCAGCAGCCTGCTACTTAAGAAAAGAGCCATGAAAGTATTGATCTTGTTTAGGAAAAAAGGGCGTCATGTGTGGTTAGGAGAGGGCTAAGGACCTGGGCAAAGTGGGTCACTTTGAGTGGCCAAGACCCTGTTGAGGGCAGAATGCAGGTTTGGTGGGTCTGATTGAGTGGCAGATAGAAAGCTTATGGTGAGAGAAATGGAATACTGAATTAGTGATCTCAGAGGTGGAGCGATGTCTTAGGAAAGCAAGTATCAGAGGTCCATACAGATGAAATGAAAATTTTCAGAGAAAAATAATGAAGAATAATCATGAGGTCAAGAAATTTAAAGGCTGAGATGCTAGCCACCCGTAATCCTAATAATCCCTTTGGCATCTGCCTTCTTAAGGGTTGGAGGCAACCAGTGCTGCCATTACCCATTTGTAAATTGTTTTTAATTGTATTCTCCTGACTTTGTCTGTCGTTGAAGGTGTTTAGTGATAATCTATGCATATCATGTACTTTAGAAGCTTGACTATGTACAAAAAAACCCTAAACCATTCCCTCCCTTTAATTGCATAACAGGAAACAACTGGAAGAATGGCAGAAATCTAAGGGAAAAATCTATAAACGGCCACCAATGGAACTTAAAACAAAAAGAAAAATAATAGAGGAAATGAATATTTCATTCTGGAAGAGTATGGAAAAGGAAGAGGAAGAAAAGAAAGCACAACTTGAACTGTCCAATAAAATTAACAATACTCTGACAGAATGTCTGCAGCTCATTGAAGGGGTGAGTGAGGAAGATGATCTCCCAAGGCTTTGGCCCAGAATCTTAGAGTCTTTAAACATTTTTCTTAAATATTGTGTAGGGGAGATAACCTCTGTCTATGCAGAAAGGTAGCTACTCTTTTTAATGTAGGAGAATAATAATAATAGCAATAATAATAGTAACATGTACTTGAATAATGGCTCTTGTATACCAGGCACTGTTCTAAGCACCTGTATTATCTCATACAATTATCATAACGACTATTACTATGCCCACTTTACAAATGAAACTGAGGCATAGAGAAGTTGGGACACTAACCCAAGCAGTCTGGCTCCAGAGGGCTCCAAAAGGAACTTTGCCTTCTTTTAAGTTTTAAGGTCCAAAGAGTAAACATTTGACATTTGGATATGAAGCAAAAAAAGGCACACGTACAGACAGACACACACACACACGTAGTTATGCATCCCAGGCTTCTCCCTGGAGGTGACCACTGTTGCCACTTATCTTTCCAGATAGTTTTTATGCATGTGCATACAATATAGGTGCATAGGGAAATGAAGTATCTAATTTTGTTTTGTGAGTTGCAGTTATTTTCAGATTTTTATATACTTTGGTTGTCTTTTCTTGTGTATTCCTAGTATCAGTATTATGCTGGCTTTGTCAAATGAGTTGGGTATTTTCCTTTTTTCCTATACTCTGAAGATAGTTTATATGACATGAGAATTATTTTGTTCTTTGAAGGTTTGGTAAGAACTTGCCCATAAAATCATCTGCACTGTGGGGGATGGTTTTGTGTATATTGTTTCAATTTTTTCCATGGTCATTGGTCTATTTAGGTTTTGTGTTTCTTAAGCCAGTTATAGTCAATTTCTTGGCTTTTGTTTAAATCAGACTTGCTGAAGATTTCTCTATTCATTAATCTTTTTAAAAGGCCATCTTTTGGGTTTTATTGACTATTTTTTTCTCATATCAATGTCTGTATCTATTTTTATGTTTATTGGTTTTTTTCTAGCTTTTTTAGTTGAAAGCTTAGATCATTTATGTCAGTCTTTCTTATTTTCTTAAAACCACATTTAATGCTATAAATTTGCCTCTGAGTTTAGCTTTGGTCATATCCTTCAGGTTTGACTAGGTAATGGTCTGTATCAGTCAGAGTCAAGTCAGAAAAACAGAAATCACACCAGGTATCTCAATAGATAGGTACCTCAATGTAGTGTGAGGATTGGTTTCACAGTGTCTTATGTGAAAAAGTAATTTATTAGGAAGAGGCTCCCAGGGAAAATTGGAAGGGGAGTGGGGATATGGGACGAGGAAGGAAAGGAGGCCAAGCGGGGTGTGGTGTCAAACAAAGTCCATGGAGGGTAACTGTGGCACAATCCCACAGGGGAGCTCTGGAGACAATGTGGGCCACGCTTCTCGGAGTCATCCTGATCTGGGGCAAGGGAGCTGTAATATCAATACTTCCACGGTCATTGATTAATTGCTGCTCCTGGGGGGACAGAAATTCCCAGGCACTTCTGACTCTCTGGACACGTACAAAGAGGTGCAGATGCTGGCTGTTGGACATGAAAGTACTTTGTGACCCTGTGTGCACAAAAATGGTAAAGGGATCATCAGAGGGGACATGGATGCTACACACAGGACTGACAGCAAAAGGGAATCTGAGGTAACAGTGGCAGTAACTTCAGGAAGCAGCGGTTGGTTCTAGCCTCCGCTGGGTCTAGGGGAACAAAGAGAGGTTGGGAATATCAGAACCTAGAAGCTAGGAGAGACAAATTCTGGTGGAAATGGGACTCCAGCTCTAAGAAGGGCATTCTACCCAGCAGATGCTGGTACCACAGGAGCTGGAGGAGGGGCCCTGCAGGGCTGGGGCTCAGACCTTGAGAAAAGGATGTCATCCAGTTGGTGCTCTTGCCTCTGAAGGAGCACAGTGAGGCAGGATCTGGAATGCCAGGGTAAAAAGGTGAAGGCTAGAACCAACTGCTGCTGCCAGAGTGAAGGACAATTGCTGGGGTGATGAAAGCAAAATAGGAAAGAGGAAGTCCCCTATCTTCTCCAGCCCTGCAGTCTCCCTCTAGTGCCCCCTACTGGCAGAACCCAGCAGGGAGCTGCTGTCAAAGCATAAAGTGATTTACAGAATTCCAGCCCCAGCATCACCAAGCAGAGGATAAAAGGTAGGTTTGGAGCTAAGAGACCATCGATTAATAACTGACATGTTCTCACTGTTGTTCATTTCTAAATAGTTTGAGATTTCCCTTTTGGGTTCTTCTTTAACCCAAAAGTTATCTTAGAAAAATATCTTTTAACTTCCAGATATGTAGAATTTTTGTTTTGGGGGTTTTTTCTGGCTAACTTTCTGGCAGTTTTTAATTGTACTGCACTGTGGTTGGTGAATGTAGCCTGTATGTGTTCTGCTTGATGAAACTTGTTGAAATTTTCTTTCTGGTCTTAATGTCTGATCAGTCTTGGTGAATGTTCCAAAAGTATTTGAAAAGAATATGTATTCTCCTTTGAATAGAAAATTCTACGTGGATATCCATTAGAACAAACTTAGAAAATCTAAATAGTGCAATTATTTTTTGTTTACTTGAGCTGTTGCTTTCTGAAAGAAATATTCCAAAGTCTCTCACTGGCACTGATTAGTGATTGATAATTTCTGTTTGTATTTCTGTCAACTTTTAGTCTCTATTTTTCAAAGTTATATTATTAGGTACGTAAAGATTCATGACTTGCTTTGATTTCTCTTTTGTCTGATGTTAATCTTGCCACATCTGCCTTGTTACAGTTTGTCTGGTAAATCTTTTTCCATCCCTTTATGTCTTTCCATCCCTTCCATGTCTCATATGAACACATACAGGTAAATTTTTTTGACAAAATCTGAAACTCTGCTTTTAAAAAGCAAATTTAGCCCATACACATTTATTGTAATTACACGTATGTTTAAACATATCTCTGCCATTATGTTTTGTAGTTCAATTTACATGAATTCTTTTGGGTTTTTTTCCCTCATTTCTGTTTGATCCAGTTTGCTTTATTCCATAAAGAAAGCATACAAATTGAAATCATAAAAGAAAGTAGTAAATGTATGGGCCGGCCTGGTGGCGCAAGCAGTTAAGCGCGCATGCTCTGCTGCGGCGGCCCGGGGTTCGCCAGTTCGGATCCTGGGCGCGCACTGATGCACTGCTTGGCAAGCCATGCTGTGGCGGCGTCCCATATAAAGTGAAGGAAGACGGGCATGGATGTTAGCCCAGGGCCAGTCTTCCTCAGCAAAAAAAGAGGAGGATTGGCAGATGTTAGCACAGGGCTGATCTCCTCACAAAAAAAAAAAGAAAAGAAAAGAAAGTACTAAGTGTAAGTTCAAACATGGCATGCAAATTATATATGATAGTCTTCTTGTTTCAAGTCTTCCACTTGAATTCTAAAGTTTATTCACTAGTAACTTTATGGGTTTTGAATGGTAAATTTTCTGAGTCCTTATGCATGAAAATGTCATTATTTCACCCTCATGCTGGAATCACAGTTTGGCTGGGGGAAGTTTCTAAATTCAAATTGTTTTCCCTAGAAAATTTGAAGTTACTGTTTCATTTTCTTCCTTGCATCTGGAGTTGTTGGCTTATTAAAGTCTCATGTCAATCTAATTCTCAGTCCTCTGTAGGTAATCCCTTTTTTCCCATCTCTGGAAGCATTTAAGATTTTCTTTTTATCCTGGGTTTTCTAAGTATGGTTCTTTTTTCATTCGTCGTGCCCGGGTCTCTGGGGATCTTTCCCTCTGAACACTTGCTTCTTTGTTCAGGCCTTGGAAATTTCCTTCTACAACTCCTTTGGGTGTGTCTTCAGCTTTGTTCTCTATTTTTCCTTCTAGAAATTCTCTTAGATGGATATTGGAATTCCTGAGTAATAGATGTATCCTCCAGAACTCTTAACTTGTCTTGCACATTCTTCACCTCTTTGTTCTCTTGCACTGGGTTCTGGGAGGATTCCACAGCCGAATTTGCAGCCCACTGGTTTATTCTTCAGTGGTGTCTGTGCCGCTGCTCTGCCCTTCTGCTAGTTCTTTTTCATAGCAGTCTGCTCTGGCTTTATGGCAGCAATAGCCTCTTCTCACTCAGAAGGTACTAACTGCAGTCCTCTGAAAATCTATTCCTCTGTGCTCCTTCAGTTGTTTGCTCCAGTGTTCATTCTTCTGGTTGTTGAGTTTTATGCCTCCTTCATGTAGTGTTGGTTTTCTCAAACACTGGGGATTCTTGATTGTGAGCTTACCTTTGTGTCTCCCCCATCTCAGGAGGAGTAGGAGGCGCTGCTTAGTTGAGTGCACCAGTACCTGGGTTTCTGGGCATGGTAGTTCCCCATGTTCTTCCTGATCTGTGTCACTACCCTGTTCTGGGTACGAGCCAGAAGGGAACCAAATCAATGAAGCCATTTTAAAGTTCCTTTTTGTTGGATTTTACCCTCACTATATACATCTGCATGGATCCCCAACACACGCATGTATACACCCCTATGACCTTTGCATGCTTGTGCCATCCTTCATACTTCTGTTAGAGTCATAGAAATTCTACTCACTATTCAGTGTTCACGTTATTATAAATATGTAAGAAATATGTGAATGTTGATTACTCTAGGGTTTGGTTTGGTTTGATTTGGTTTGGTTTTGGTTTTTCATAAAAATGGAGAGCATATTCCTTACCTTCAGCTATGATAAACATTTTTCTGTCTATTTGGTCTCACGTAACTCTTAAAATTTAATGATTAATGTCAAACTCATTGGAATGTACTGTTGAAATGGGTGCATTTTATTATATGTAAACTGTACCTCAGTAAAATTGAAATTTTTTAAAAATTCAAAAAAATTATTGATCAGACTGATTTCTGCATACCTGCTATGATAAATATTAGGAGATGAGAGAGTAACAGTGAGATGGTAATAATTACCTCTGGGTATTTTCTTCTTTCCAGGGTGTACATTCTAATGAAATATTTACCATATTGTCCAGTATTCCTGAGGCTGAAAAATTTGCTAAATTCTGGATCTGCAAAGCAAAATTGTTGGCAAGTAAAGGCACCTTTGATGTTATTGGGCTTTATGAAGAGGCTATACGAAAGGGGGCAACAGTAAGTATCTGTGTTGGGTGGGTGACTTCTTGAAAATTCTCTTTCATGTCAGTTCTCTGTTGTTTGCAATATGGCAGTTATATAATGTAATGTTAAACTTCTAATTCATTTCATAAAGTCATACACAGAATATGAAGTACAATATGTCCTTTATGAACATTTTAATTAAAATATTTATTTTGTAGAAAGTTGTGTTACACGTAAACCAGTAGAATTGCTTTTCTTGTCAAGTGATTGTGTCTCACTTTACACTCATTGTAGAAATATGCACTTATCAAAAGTAATAGTATAGAAAGTTATAACATCAATATCCAATACTTACAAAATCATACCTCCCTTAAAGAACCTAAAAATATATTAAACCCAACACATCACTATCCATAATCAATAATTCAGAGCCGTTGCATGAAATAACTTAACTCTAAAACCTAGTAAAACCACTACCTCTATATAATTTTTTCTAAACAAAGACTGTAGCAAAAAGTTTTAGGGGCCGGCCCGGTGGTGTAGCGGTTAAATTTGTGCACTCCACTTCGGCAGCCGGGGTTCACGGGTTCGGATCCCAGGCATGGACCAACACACTGCTTATCAATCCAAGCTGTGGCAGCATCCCATATAAAGTAGAGGCAGATGGTCATGGATGTTAGCCCAGGGCCAATCTTCCTCAGCAAAAAGAGGAGGATTGGCAACAGATGTTAGCTCAGGACTAATCTTCACAAAGATAAAAAAGTTTTATAACTCTTTTCACTTAAAAATTGCCCAAAATGCCAACTAAAGATTGTATTTGGGTGATGGGATTATGGGTGATTTCCTTTTTCATGTTTGACTTTTTGCTCAGTTTTACTGTAATGAGGTATATGATTTTTATGATAAAAACAAAAATTCAGTTAAGACAACACTAAAAATGTATGCCACATTTTCTGTATGGCTAGCTTTACATCTTTGGGCCAGAATCATTATGTGGCAACACGTCTTCAATGGGATCATATAAATCGATAATAAAATTAATTTGATTTGTAGAAATTTTATTATAGACAACTTTCTATAAACATATCTCTTCATTAAAGTAAAGCATGCCAGCATTTAACCATTTTCTTTGTTCCTTCATTTTTCCCGTAAATCCATAGATCTATTCCTATATATCTGAAATTTTTTAAATGTTATTTATAGTTAGACAAGAGATAAGAAAGGAAACATTTTTATTATAAAAAGAAGTTCAATTGATGTTACACAAAGTTCCTTAGATCATTTTATCCGTGAATATTTTTAATACTGTTCATGTATTTCCTTCCTTCCTTCCAGCCAATACAAGAGTTGCGAGAAGTTGTTCTTAATATTTTGCAAGACCCAAACAGAATCACAGAAGGTACTATTTTTAGATTCATTCCCTCCAGCCGCTCGAGTAAAAGTCATCAAGGAACACATAGGGAAAAAAGAGAAGAATTATAAATCCCCTGAAGTGCCTCTCACTTCTTGGTTTCCATACCCTGGCCTTTTCAGCCATCATCAGCAGCTGATTTATTTCTATTATTACAAGCAAATGTACTGCCCAACAGCGAACAAAGGTTGTTTCCACCAGAGGAGCCTAGACTAGAGTGTCTTGCTTCCCTGGAGTCCTAGGTAGGAGAAGACAAGTGGCTCTTTATCAGAAAAGACTGCGGCAAAAGGGAGAAATGCCTGGGTTTAAGGTACATGTTTAATCATAGCAAACCCACCAAAACTTATACATCCAAATTCATGTTATACCTTTAAAAATAGCCATCTCAGGAATCTTTTCACTTAGTTAACCATTGCTGTCATCGGTCAGAACCTTTAGAGAACTATTCTCTGAAAAATATTGTGCCAAATACAGTGAGTAGCACATTATAATTGCTTATAATATTTGTTATATGAATGGAAAGAAAACATGCTACCATGAGAAAATAAAACAGATTATTTTTATTATCTTAGAAGGTGACAAATCATTTTCCTTTAAGAGTAGATTGAACTTTGGGGAACAATCAAGTAATGTGAAATTATTGCTAACTAATCCATTACTTTTGTGAATAGGTCATAGAGTAGATATACTCAATGTACTCTTACTGGGAATTGTGCTACAATTCAGACGTTTGTTTATAATATATGGCAGTGAGTTCTTCAAAGAGATAAAAAGAGGAGTCAGGAATCCATGCCTTTCCCACTTGTTGGCCCCTGTTGACCTCTCTTGAGGTCTCAGCCTCCAGCCACAATATCTGCCTGTCTCAGTCTAATTTCCTTCCCTTCCTTTTGGTTGTTGTGGTTGGCCTATCATTTAAATTGTATTAACACAAGACATTTTTTCACCCACTGTCCAAGGTGATAGCCCTCTGGTCTTCCCTGGATAGGGAGGGGATCAGGAGGTCAAGTGTGTTAACCCTAGTGATTAAGTAAATTGATGCAAGGTATGGTGTAAGGGTAAAAGGCCAATGATTAGTCCCTAAGGGAGCTCTCTGGAGAGTGAATAAGAGATTGGGGATGTGTTCAGAATGTTGAAAGGGTATCAAGGATCCATCCTCAGGTGGCAAGGAGGCCCAAAGGCTGTCTGGAGGGCTGGTTAGGAGGATGGCCTGATGTAGCAGGGCATTATTACAGGCCTCAGCAGGGAAAACGAGTTATAAGTCCCACTTCAAATCAGTTACTCTTTATTTAATATGTGGAGTCCATGAGGACCCTGGGAAATCATTGTATATAATGCTTTTTCATTTCATTGATTTTTAGCTTCAGTATTAAATTGCTAAGTTTTACTTTCCTTCTTGATCTTGTATACACAGGAATTACCTCTGACACTTTAGTTGCTGAAACTAATATAACGTCAATAGAAGAGCTGACCAAGAAGATGGAATCTGAAAAGTCTTGTCTTTCTCCAAAAGAGAGGGGAAAGGTTACAGCAACACCCCAAATAACCAAGACAGAACAGGATAATCATCCTGGTATCAAATTACAGATCGCCTCAATTCCTAGGTAAGCAAACTCTAAGGCAGGCTTTGTGTTCACAGGTCTAATTCAAGTCCAGTTCCCAGTTTCTCCTCTACAGCTCCAGAATACCTGCAATTTATTGATACCTTCTGCTTCATATGAGGACCAGGCAGTCTAATCCATCTTTGGTGTTAAGGGAGGGAGCCAAGGGTGAGGGGGGGGGTTGGAACCATTGACAGGAAGATCTGTGTCCTTTCTCTGCACACACACCTTTCCCCTTCACACGACCCCTAAAGAGACCTGCCCTGCAATGTGGAAGGTGCTGCTGCAGTCAGGAGGGATGGGATGAATTCACCTCCTCCCTCCTGGAATCGGTACTCCCTCTTTACCCTCATTTGTCCTGCACTTGCAGATCCCACCTACCTTTCCTGCCAGCCCCAGGGTAGGGGCAGCAGGGGCAAGCTCTGTAGCTGCAGTAGAGAAGGAGCAGTGAATGGCCCTGTGAGAACAAAGAGGGAAGTCAGGTTGTACTAGTTAGAGGCTGCTCATAATATCAAAAGTGTGTGTTTTTTTTAACAAGCATAAGTTTAAGGCAGAATCCGGAGTAATTTAAGGAAGCGTGTCAGGATATCAATGTCATTTTCTAAAACATTAATGTAACATCAATCTCTGTTTGTGATCTTGAAAGGATTTTTCCAAACAAAAGCACCAGGACCGCAGTTCCATATTTTATTCCCTGGAAAGCACAGCTGGGCCTCTTCCAGTCCTCAACTCCTCTCCCAGACATGTCATTTCCCCACTACAGGCAGCTCATGGATGGATGAAGGCAAGCAGTTGATCTGCAAACCAACTTTTGCTGGCTCTGGCATTTATTATGAGAGTTGTTAGCAGACTGGCCTGCTAGTATTGCTTAGGCTAATGTAATCAGTTGTTTTGTGAAGTGTAGACGAGATTTATGACATGGAAAGGTCTCTGCAACCTATCCTCCAGGCTACTTTTTATTAGGATGCATTAAAGTTTACAAAGAAGATGCCCAGTTTGTTCCAGTTTCAATTTGTGGTTTCGTCTACCATCTTAAAAGATGTTTTTTTGAATACTTGACTGTCAACACTAGAAAGAATCTTAGAATTCATTAGTCCAACCCCATTTGGTGTTAGGCCCAATTTCCTCAAAACTTGTCAACTCTTTGAAAGTTTATGGAGTAAACAAAGACCAACTAACTAGTGGTTGACTTCAAATAAAAGCACACAATGCCTCATTCAATAAATCCTTATGCTTCCACTATCCAAGAGCAGATGAACACCACCCAATTCATTCTGACAATCAAAGAAAAGCCATCTTAGGATAAGAGCTGCTCTAGACATGTCTCTTGTATCAACCTACATTGATATGTCTATCATGTTTTATCATAGAATAACAAAAAAATAAAGAATAGTAAGTATAATTTCAAAAGAAGTTATAAGGTTTTGAATGCCTCTCTTTCTGTCTCGCAGAATACACGGAATGCCAGAAGTACAAGACATGAAGCTTATCACTCCTGTTCGGCGTTCAGCAAGGATCGAGCGAGCGGTGTCCCGCTATCCGGAAATGCTGCAGGAACACGACTTAGTAGTGGCTTCTCTTAATGAGCTCTTAGAAGTGGAAGAAACAGAGTGTTTTATATTCCGTAGAAATGAGGCTTTGCCTATAACATTAGGGTTTCAAATCCTTGAATCATAATTACTTGATGCTTTTTTTTTTTTTTTTTTTAAAAAAAACCTCCATGAGACAAGAAATGCCCGTGTCCGGATGACCTGGAAGAAACTATATAATGGAAAGGCATCGTGGATGTAGATGATGGGCTCTCAGGACTTAGAAAGTAATTCACTGGGCTGACTCTCAAATTTTATATCCCACAGGAGAGTCTGGTTTAGTTTTTAAAGGCTGTAGTTGGCCACAGATTTATAACATACATAGATTTCAAACTATTGAATAGTAATTTACCCCACAAGTATGGTAAAAATTTGCTCTTTATTGATCTGCTTGAATCCCAACATAGTTATTTTTTGTATCAGAAGGTTGGTGCCACAATGTGATAGACCTTCCTTCTTGCATCCACCTTAGCAGAGAGGGCAAGTCCTCCCAGCATAGAAGATCTGAGTTTAGAAACTAGCCTTCCTAGCTATACAGGACATGACAGACTATCTGGGCAAATGCCCTCATTTTACAGATGGGTTTATACTAGCGATGCCTTTGCACAGAGGTGGCAAATGACTTTTAGGTGTGATCTTTGACTTAACTCACGGTATCCCTGTAGATGAGGAGTAATTCACGCGATTTCTGTGCCAGGTCTCCTCTAATGAACCACAATCCTGAATTGGGATGCTCATCTAGCTTTTTATATCTAAATCTAGTTTTGCATTTGTTATTCAGAAATGCTTCAAATAAAAACAAAAGGGAGCAGGGCAGAGGGGTGGGGAGGGGACGCTTGCTTTTTCACTGCAATTCTTTGCTCTGCTGAGGGACACCTGGCCTGAGAAGACAGTCCAAGCCCCAGAGACTTACAGGTTGCCTTTCCTTCCTCCTGGGCAACTGCTTATGGAAGGTAAAAGCAGAATCATTGTGTAAATATAATGTATAGAAAAACCTAGTCAACATATTTAAAATTTTAGCTTTCTTAAGTATTATCTAAAACAAGAAAAAAACATTAAATTTTGTTCATTCGTGCTTGTTTATCTTATTTATTATAGAAAACAGTGATGATAGCTTGACTTAGAGAATTAGGAGTTTATGTGGAGAAACACCATAGGCTATCCCAAGAGGCCTCACAGGGAGCATTCATTACCATGGAGAGCTCACCTTGATCAAGGGTCTGACCATCAGCCTCACCCGGGAACTGGATTTTTTCATTGTGAGGGAAGCAGATCCATCTTTCCAGGTCAGATTTATAATAATGAGGTTCATAAAACTGAGCTGTAAAACCATAGTGCTAATAGACTAACTTGCAATAAGAAATAGGTTGTCACTACCACCAAAATGCAGGAATCCACACAGCCAGCCCTTTCCTTCCTTTATACAGACATGCTTTACCTGTGAGGCCAAATAATACTCGGGGGTTGCTGAGAGATCACAAAATCTGAAAATGGGACTTAGAGAAATCAAATGTTCAAAATCACCGGACTAAAAGAATCTGAAGCCAGTCCCTCCATGTTAGGAATGTCCTCGCCTCAGACCTCAGACCCTGCCTCTTACGTCCATTGACCAAGTCCTTGCGATTGGACCTGTACCGCTGTCTTTTGTGCAGTCACCTTTCCTTTGGCTTTAGAATGGTTCATCCTTGCCACCCATTGCCTACGCCCACCCAGGCCTGGGAATCACTTGTCTCTTTATGATGATTTTACAGGTCCCTCCTCAGGACCATTGTCTTAATATTACAGCTCAGTTCTCAAAAGAGCAACTTTATTTTCTTTATTGCCAGTGCCTTGCAGGATGTCTCACAGTATCACTCTGAGTACTAATAACGGTGTAGGTTGAACTGTTGGCGTCTAATAATGTATAGTTTTCAAAGTGACAAATTGGAGGTTTTGAACAGCCTGATTAGACTAAATAGCATCTTCAGGATATAAAAGGATGTGGAAATGATTGTGGGTGGCACATCAACTGTAGAAAACTGTACCCTAATTCTAAAGCTCTTTGTAGATTCTCAATAACCCTCTTGTTTAGTAAATAGCTGTTCCTAGAAACCAGGAACAGGAGGGAGGGAGAGAGAGGAGGAAAGAAGGCAGGCCCCTAATCACTTGGAAGAAAGATTCATAGGGAATTGCAATGGAAATATGGGCCTTGACAGAAATCAAGTCTCATGCTGTTTAAGGACAGCTGCTTGGAGGAAGTGAGTGTAAAGCTGGGTTTAAGGGAAGATAAACAAGGATAGTTGTATACTGGCATCCCTGTGCGAGATGACCGTGAACCGGAAGACAGGGAGGAGAGGCATGACAGTTCACATTTATCACTGTTTACTAGGTACCAGGTACTCGAGCTACAGAAGGCATCTGTTGTTGCCTACCCAGCATGTAGTCCTTCCAATAAGAGCACCCAGTTTCCTCAGGACCACCTCTTTCCCACTCACGGTCCACGGGTGTAAGAGCAGAGGACTCCACCCAGGGGTGAGCTGTGACCCAGGCTTAGTCCACCAAAGCCCAGCGTCTCCTGGCCAGTGGTATTGATTGGAGGGTGGGGTCATGTCTTAGTCAAAACCAGTGAGACTCATTTCCCAGACTTTAGTGGTGGAGTTGCCGAACAGATAAAATGAAAGTCTGTAAGCCGTCTCATAACCACGTGGAAAAAAATCTGCCAGAGAATGGTACCAACACAGAATAAACGTGAGAGCTGGAGAGACTGAGGTTTTGTCCAATGACATCATTTGGTCCCCTGGCCAAAGCCTGGAGCCAGTCAAGCCCTGGACTTTTCAATGATGAGACGATAAATGCTCTTTCTCTTAAGCCAGTTTCATTTAGGTTTCTGTCAGTTGCTAGGGGAAAAACTCCTGACTAGTACACACACATAGAATAGTATGTTTATGGAATTATGCTGACTCTGGCCATGTTCCATGCATATTATCTCACTACCGCCCCACAATAGCTTTATGACATAGGTATGGAAACAGTAGTTAGCCAGTAAGTGACAGGGCTAAAATTTCAAACTCAGGGCTGTCTGGCTTTAAGACCAGAGCTTTTTTGTGTGTGTGTGAGGAAGATCGGCCCTGAGCTAACATCTGCCAATCCTCCTCTTTTTTTTTTTTTTTTTTTTTTTTTTTAAGGAAGACTGGCCCTGGGCTAACATCCATCCCCATCTTCCTCCACTCTATATGGGATGCCGCCACAGCATGGCTTGACAAGTGGTGAGTCAGTGCACGCCCGGGATCCGAACCGGCAAACCCTGGGCCACCACAGCGGGGCACGCACACTTAACCACTTGCGCCACTGGGCCAGCCCCTAAGACCAGAGCTGTTCACTCCTATTTCTATTTAAAGTAGGGACATGAGGACTAGGATGGTGATGAGGAAAGAGCAAATCTCAGAAGGAAATTCTTAAACTATTCCCAGTTTACCAAACAGGAATTTCTGTGATAGCCAAAGTACTGCCATTTGTTCTACAGATGAGGTGACTTCATCACAGTTTTACCACAAGGTCACTACCCCAGGGATGATGCTTCTGTTCTCTCCACTTCTACTGCTCAGGACTGGATGCAGGAATTAGGGTATTGATTCAGCTGCCATAACTAGTCCCAAATGGAAATGCATCCCTCACATCAGCAGTCCAAGTGACACAGTCCAGAGCTCATATGGTGCCAGGCCCAGGCCACGTCTGTGTCATGCTCTGCCATCCCTAGGGTGCAGCCTCATCCATATGGCCAAGGATGGCTCCCAACCAATTTCATATTCCAGCCAGTGGGAAAGGGGAAGGGGGGAAGTGGAAGGCACACCTTCTGCTTTTAAGGTCATCTCTTGAAAGTTGGATGCATTATTTCTGCTTAGGATAGAGGGGCCAGAACTTCATCACTTGCCCCAACTCATCTTCAAAGAAGGCTGGGAAAAGTCTTTTGTGTGGCCACGGGCCCAACTAAAAATTCTTCCAGAAATGGAGTATGACTTCTCAGTGTCTACCACAATCTTAGTAACGGAGTACATCTCTCACTAAGATGTAGGTAAACAAGTATAGAAGTGACATCAGGTTTAAAAAAAAAATTGCATCAAATGAACAGCCCCCAAATAGAAGTATCTCCCACCCTACCTCGCCCCAGATGAGTTCCTAAGGGTTTAGGAAGAGTTCTAATCCAAAACTTTGTAGCCTTTCCCCACTTCCTCTTGTCTTATACTCTCTTTTGATACCTTTTGCCCTACCCTTTCCCCTGCAATTCTACAAGCAGACCCAGAGTAATAATAACACCAGGTGACATGGTTCAGTCAATAAAACATACAGGACACTGTGGATGCCAGAGATACAATGATGAACCAAATGACCTGACCCCATGGAGCCAAGAATCTAGTGGGGTCACACATTAAAGGATCTGCTCCAGGCAGAAGGAAAAGCACGGCAAAGGCCCTGTGGTCACTTCTTCCCTTCCTTTTACAGGGTCTCTCTCCCTTCTGTCCCCTCTCTCTCCCTCACTCTCTCTTCTTCAGAACCCATAAGGATCTTCTGCCCAACTATTTATCCCCCAGGCCCTTTCTGCATCCTCTCTACCCTGGGAAGAAATTGTAAGGGTTGATTTTTGTCGTATTAGCTAGTGTACTATATTTCAGCACCTTTCCAGAAGATCATGGGTCCTAGGGTCTGAGCAGTTTTCCTGACAAAATACTACCCTCTGGCCCTTGAATAAGAATCTAATGTTTAAAAACAAGGCCAAGGATATCTGGTCATTGCCTGGAGAACCTGCCCTTGTGACTCTGGGGCCCAAAAGTCAATCCAGGAAGAATGAAAGGCCTTTAGCAGTGCCAGACCTGGAAGCTCCTGAAATGCACAGGAGATGTGAAAAAATGACTGAACTCTGAGCACACGGCCTGTTGTCCCTTATTTATCCTCAGATATTCCAAATGTTTCCCTTGTTTATCCACGGAAAATGCACTAGTGAACTATGTCACAGAATTATTCCTTCAAGAGTTTGTTTTTTCATTTCAAACATGTAGATACAGTCATTCTAAGCCTCCATATAATGCCAGATGAGACCACTAACAGACAAAAAGTGGACTATAGGAGTGGATTC